GGTATATCCATATTGTCTAATTGTGACGTTATGTTATTCTATAATACTGACCTTTCCATTTTGTTCCTTACTGTCAAATTATATAACCAGTTAATCTAGTTTGGTCCTATAGTCTGTTTTAATTGATATCAAACAAGCTTACTTATACAAGGAGTGAAACTGATCATAGACTTAGTTAGACTAGGCCTTGTCTAGCATTACCGTGCTAGCCATCGCCATCACGTCCCTTTCTTCCTCCCGTTCTACGACTACTTTATGTCTAGTATGGGGCCTTCGAGTTAAGGCAATGCTTGGAGAGAGGGAGGCGCAACAATAACAAACAGCTTGGTTTTGTGAAGGAGTTAACATGCCACAATGGAGGTATTAGTGTTGGACGGTGGTGGTCGGACTTGGGGTAGAAGGTGACTTTAAGGCCATCTAATACTGCATGGCCATGGCAGCCCTCCCAAAATGGAATGTTAGATATACACCGGTGTATGTTTCGATTCCATACTAATTTGTGTTTGTGACTTGTGATATTGGTTGATCTATATGTTGAATTTTGTGTTTTGTGGTCCCATTTCATATTTCAAAGTGGTTCTCACTTCTCGCCATGAAATAATTATCGGCGGTCCATTGACAATGAAGGTCAAAGGCGACTGTTGATGGCAAATACCAGCGGTAGTCGAAGGTAGTGATAGATGAGTGCCAAACTATCAGCGTGGTCGGTTGTTGCAAGCAACTAGCTAGCGTAAGGAGCTCACAAACCTCATATGTTCCTTCTGGAGCTCACAGCAAAATTAGAGGGTTAAACATTTGGATTTTGGAGGGTCCTGCTTTAGTTGCCCACCAACTTTTAAATGTTCTTTTCTCACCATGATAGTGATAATTGGCGGAAGGTCAAAGGAGATGGACGTTGGAAAATACCAATGGTGGATGATTGTAGAGTTAGACAAGTACTAGACGATGGTCGGTGTGGTCGGGGGTTGCTAGCAACTAGCATAAGGACCACACGAACCTTGTTCGTTCCTTCTAGAGTTGGGGGGACATTGAGTTCATCTAATAAGAGGGTTCATTCTTTGGATCCTTGAGGCCCTACCCTCTAGTTGTTCTTCAACTTTCAATAGTGGTTTCTCAATGTGACAACGACTACAGGCGGTTCATCCACAACAAAGGTCAGAGGTGATGGCTAGTGGCAAAGGAGCAGTGGCCATTGGTAGACGCCTAAGAAGCTCACGAACCTGCCTGTCCCTTTCACTACTAGAGACAGGAGCAATCCTGTCGGATACAGGTATTCCTGACGGTTTCCTAGAAACCGTCAGGAAAATAGTATAACTCATGTCGGTTGCCAAATCCGTATGGGAATCAGGAAGGAAATTCCTGTCGGTTTGGGAATCGTTTCAGAAACTGACGGCTACGGATTCCTGACGGGCATCAGAAACCGACAGGAATCCATTTCTACCCGGCATGTAGTGCGAAAACTAAAACGTGCGCGGCAAAAAACGGAGAGTGGCGCACATATGTCCCGCTATATTTTCATGGGTCCACTTCCTGATTGAGATACGGTATAAAAGAAAATCCAGAACCCTAGCAAAATCTCCCCACCCCCGCGCCGCCTCCAACACCCGTCACGGCCGCCCCCAACACACCCGACCGTCGTGGCCCACCCCTTTGCCGCCCCACTCCCGTCGTGGGCCTCCCCTCCGTTCGAGCCCCGGCCGCCGCGGCCGGTTCCTCCCTCCGCGCCCCGGCCACCGCGGCCGGCTCGTCCGGTTGCGCCCCGGCTCCTCAACTAGGAGCTTGGGACGTCAAGTTCTCGAATAAGAAGGTCCAAACTTTCGATACTGGAGGCCTTGCTCTAGTTGTCCTCCAATTCAAGATGAATTGAACATCAAATTCTGATTTTTTTTCCATTTGCATAAAAAATTCAAAGAAACCAAGTCTAGCTTCACCATATTTTGTTCCCAAATTCTTGCCAGATTTAGCAAACTGAATAGGGCCTACAGCTATTGTTATTACTCCTTCCATCCTTCAACGTCCGTCATATATATATTTTTATAAGGAAATATTTTAAAATTAGATTTTATATTTTAATTTCTCTTCTAACATCATCGTAAAATTCATCCAAATGGGAATTCCAAGACCCAAAAATAAGGTCACCTCTTTCTTAGAGGAAAAAAAGGGATGACGTTCACCAATTCACAATAGCAAGGGCAAGTTTCCATGCCATTATCTTGTGTGCTTCCCAGTTATTACTTGTACTACTAATCCTATTACTTGTACTACTAGGTTGTCCACAATGTATTTTTAGCAGCCTTTTATTGTTTGGCGGCAGTTGCTAGCTTTTCCCTTGTTTTCTGTAAGAAAGTTACTTTATTTTTCTTTTCATGGGAGGAGGGGGAGAAACGTGAGAACTCTGGACAAGAAAGGGATAGACGGTTTTTATTCCAAAAAAAAAGAAAGCGATAGACGGTTTGTCTTAGAGATGTAGTAGAGCCAAGATTATTTCCTTAGATCAGAAGACTCTATGCATGCATTCAGTTAAAAAGTAGAGGAGTACTGAACAAGGCCTATCCCTAAGAAACGGCGGTAAAGCTAGATCGATCTCTTGTCACAAACAGTGAAAGTGTAAAATTCCTATAGGAAATTACTTCTCTCTATATTAATATATGCCCGACATATTCTTGTGGGTGGCTCTTCGTAAAATTCCTATAGGAAATCAAACCACAGCCTTTCCCTTTACCATCCGGTATATACTCCCCACCATATATACCCCAAAATGAGGGCTAGACTTTGCTCAGTTTTCTAAGATAAAAAATAAAATGGACCAAAAAAATTAGTGAGGTCCATGATTCCGCAAAAATTATTTGGTCGTTGGAAAACCATAATCGATAAACTAAGATCTAAGATATATAAGAAAAATAAGCAAATAAAAAAATAATCGAACAAGTTCTTACCTGATGTTGCTTTTGGATGGTATGACGCTTCATTGTAATAACCATGAGGCTAAAAACATGAACATCCTCAACCTCATGTGGATTTTAGATGGTATGACGCTTCTTCGTAACCATGAGACTAGAAATATGAACATCCTCAACCTCACATAGTTTCGGTGGTAGTACTAGAGATCTTCTTTTGTGGTAGTGGAGACAATTCTAGCCCTAGATCTGCCTCCAGCCACAGGAGGTCATAGAAATCGATGAATTTCAGAGCAACGACATAGCGAGGACTAGCACAAAGGAAGAGATTTGGGTGATATTTTTGCTAGGCTTACCGAGGGAAGGGGGATGAGGCAAGGCAGCGGATAGAGGAGGATGCGGCGTCGATGCGTTTGTTCAGAGCCAGTGAGAAGTATATATAGAGCGTGCAATCCATATACAACATGAACATCCGTAGCGTCATCCTCACGATTTGCTTTGTCGTGGACGGCATCATACACCGGTTTCAACGTACCGCACAACGTTACTCGATCGTGTTATAATATAACTACATTGATGCAATGAGAAATTAAGGTACACCGACCTCAGACTTGGGATGCATGTTTCCTTCTCTAGAACCGTAAAACTCACAAACAACTCTCCCTCTCACTGTCTCACACATTCCATTTTCTTCTTAACCCTTACAAAGATGTTTGTTCATCATCCATCGATCCATCCATGACAATATTAATTACCACTTCATTTATTTTTTACCAGGGTGTGGTTGGTGGGGGGCCTGAATGCATTGCCTTTCCCACCGATTGAGGACCACCGACGCAAGCAAGCCGCGGCACCTGAGAGGATATCGTCACCATCTGTGACCGTGCATGCAGAGTTGCAAACGGCCGAGGTCGGCAGGTGCAGCCCAACGCGGGCGCGGCTGGACTCTTGCGGGGAACCGTCCCGGCCGTGCCGCGCGCATAACGAGGCACGACGGTGTGAAAAGCTCGCGGAAAGGCACGAAGCAAACACGGCAAGCTATCTCGGTATGGCGTGGGGCAACGCGAGGCCAGCCGAAACGCCAGTGGCCGGCGTGCAGTGAGTGACAGCCTTCGGCACACACGCGACGCGAACGCGAACACGAGCCCTATATGAAAACCGCAGGTGTACCCTTGCCACACATCCACATCAGCGAGCGCTGCACATCCGGCAGGCACAGCGGAGGCGAGAGGCAGTGCACCTGTGGCCTGTGCAAGGTTTTGGGATTCAAAACGCTAAAAATTTCGGTGGTCACCGAAATTACGAAATTCAGAAATTTCGGACCGGTTTTCAGTTAAGTTGACCAGTCAAACATTTCGTATTTGCCCGAATTTTGACAAATTTGGTCCGAATTTTTGATAAAAAATAGAACAGCAGACAAATCAATTAAAAACGATCAAACAATACATATACTTTGATCAAGGCTTAAGAACAATAAATACTCCAATAGTTTTCAAACAGAGACTGCAGCAAGCACAAATTTAATTTCACAAGTAGTGCCGACCATGGTGCTGTAGCCCTTGCATGCCCATCTGCAGCATCACCACGGTTAATGCTTGCACTGCCCCTGGCCCTCATCTGGCTCATGCCGCTGCTACCAGTAGCTTGGTGATTTGTTTTCCATGGCGCCACCGAATGAACCATTACAGCAACAATGGAGGATTGGGGGATTCAGGATAGGAGAGGAGAGGAGTGGAAGGGGAGACGAGGGGGAAGGAATGAACTGAGCGGGAGATCCGTCGCCGCGCTTTCTGGTTGCGGGCACGCGCGTGCGGAACGCGCTAGGCGCGCCGCCGCCAGCCAGACGAACGGGAGGGAGGAAAAATGAAACTCTAGGGTTTTCACTTCTGTGTTTGTGCTTTTATAGCTATGGAGGGCTTATGCAGGCTGCTAGAGACCATGGGCTGGGCCGAAAATTCAAATTGGGCCGAAATATTTTGTCCGGTACCATTTTTTCTCGGGCCTGTCCGAAATGGATGAATCCCACCGAATTTCGGCCCAATTCGGTCGAATCCCAGAACCGTGGGCCTGTGCAGGCAGTGACAGGAGAGAGTTTGTTCGAGGATGCAAGGAGGCATGATCGAGCTCGCGCGGCAGGCGGCGGCCGCGGCGAGGGCCGAGCGAGGGGTGCGTGGTCCGGCCAGGCTGCCGGTGCGTAGGTACCGCGGCGTCATGAGGCAGGGCGACATGTATGCCGCCGAGATCATGGACGCCGCGGGCCTCCGCCCGGTGTGGCTCGGGTCGTACGCGACTCCCGAGGAGGCAGCGTACGCGTACGACGCCGCCACGAGGATCATGCACGGGAACAAGGCCAAGCCCAACTTCCCCGAGCCCCCGGTCCCGTACCATGGTGGAGCCGCGCCGGCGTTCTCACAGTTTATGTACCGTCCAGCTGCAGGTCCAGCGTTCGACGCCGCCGCCGGTGGAAGCAACGGCGCAGGCTTCTATGGTATGACTTCCATGATCGGCCCTGATGAGCCCGAGGTGCCCATGCCCATTCTCACAGTTTTCGTACCGTCCAGCTGCAGGTCCAGCGCTCGCCGCCGCCGGTGGAAGCAACGGCGCAGGCTTCTATGGTATGGCTCCGATGATCGGCCCCGAGCCCGAGGTGCCCATGCCCGCCTATGCAGCGAGGCGCGCACGGAGCAGCTCTGACAAGAAAAACAAGGCGGCTGTCGATGCCTCGGCAACGTCGGACCCAAAGCTGGTCATCATCATCGAGTCTGATTCTGATGGTGAGTCCGTGGTCGAGGATAACTTCACCGGCGACGGCGGCGCGTCCTCCTCGTCTGCAGCGCGTCCGGCGGTGCTTCCACTCAGGCTCAAGGATCTGATGGAAGCCGAAGTAGTTCGCCGCAGCGCTGATGAGGGGAAGCCGTAAGCCGGCATAAGTGGCGCCGTTGCAAGGGGGCGCAGTGAAATGGGGCCATCATTGTCCTTCGTTCTTTGGATCCTTTGAGAACTATATGTCGTCTATTTACCCCTATCTCTTTAATTCGACTCTGCATCGTAATGTTTGTTTCTGTATGGATTAGTGTGTTGCTTTTATGTACTGTGATGGATCGATGGCCATGGTCTAATTAATAATATACTTGCGTTCTCAACATAAAGCTTGTCGTTGCTATAGTTTCTATGTGAGGAAAGAACAAAACAATATGGTTTATTTTGGCATGGTTATGAGATCCATGCATGATTTAGGGTTTAAACATAAATATAAATAGGTTAAAATAGTTTAGATATAAATGTTTTAACCAAAATAATAACAAATTTGCATAACTAAGTGCATTAAATGTGCCCATGGCTCACTTCCAAAATTTTGAAGCTCCGAAAAATCATTGAACTAGAGTTGAGCCAATTTTTTTTAATATCAGGCAATTCTACTTCTTGTAATGTTGTAATAAAGGACCTTTGGAAGATAGTACACCCTTGTGCCATCCTTTTGAGTCGATTCATTATTTCAGGTTTCAAGAGTAGACTAACAATGATAAGATTAAAGTTGTCTCAGTAGTCAATCGTAGATCCTACTTACTGAAATAAAAGTTTAATAAACATGGATATCTATCCCATCTTATGGTTACTTATTAGAGACTTGTTTCGTAACCTCCATGTTAATTTTCACGTTATACTCTAGGAAAAGGAATAAAACTTATAGATTCTACAAAATAAAATAAAACAACCGACCATCCATTTTGTAGACTTAATCCTATTATTGACAACAATAGCCAGAGTTCTAATTTTCTACGAAATCATCCATATCTGCTATTATATATGAAAACAACATACACCTAATAACCCCATAAATATGTATACATAACCTGAACTAACCCAGTTGCATCTAGATTATCCGCACTGCATGAAAACACACAATAGTGACGTCTGCCAAGGTCTTGTTAAGTTGGTGATTGGATTGGTCACAAGCTTCAAAAGGTCATCCACACCTCCACCTTTACTCACTTCCTCTTTCACTTTTTTACTCTCCTCTTGCTCCTATTTTGGCTTTGAGATGCAATTGTCATTGCATGTTTGTCTCCTCCTAGTATAAGGGAGTCATATATATGGAAGATTTGGTACTATGTTTTCCCAATCTCCTATGAGTTCCTATACATTTAATGTAATTATATAAATTATTAATTGCATATACCTAATCACATAATTCTAATAAGTAACCGTTAATAAGAATGAATAATGTTTATATACAAACTTGTGGATGTCAAAAAAGAGTGTGATATACCTTGGGACCCATTATTGTCTAGAGTACTTGAATAGACTAGAGTCGTTCATGGATGCAGCGACAACGTGTATAAATGTTAATGTAAAATGATAATGTATTGTGCATGCCCTAATTTCGATAATAAGAAGAAGTTTCCAGCAACCAAACAATGTCAAGGCACTTGATCATGCATGGATTTTAAAATGATGTTGGAATAAACATGATGAGGAAGATCTTACTGATGGGGAGAACTATGACAGTGTGAAAGACCCTCCCACCCCAAACTGGTGATATGGATCATGATCTGAACAATGAGGCCATATTAGGTTTAGATATGTTGATGATGGACGGTGTAGGATGTTAAGGGGCAAGACGGGTATAATGATGATAACAAGTTTGCTAAATTATAGAAGTATGTCTAATATTCCAAGGTTGTAGAGGAATGGGCACACCTAATTAGGGACCTCAAGTTTCTACGATTGAGAGCAACTCATGGTCAAGTTGATAGGAATTTCACAACATCATTGTTTCTGCTAAAGGACATGCTACCAGAGCAGAACTTTGTGTCCATGCCTATGTGTGAGGCGAAGATGCTCATTTGTCTCATGGTATCGGAAATGAAAAAGATACATGCATATTAGGAAAACTTTGTAATGTTCGTGGAGTGTATGCTGATTTGGGTCGATCACATATTGTAATAACACTCGATACACGAGAAGAAATGATAGCGTTGATGGAGAGACAAAGGTAGTAAGAGTAAAGAGTCTCCAAGGATGGTGGTTTGATATTTACATCTTGAGTTCCTATAATTCCTTATGTCTGAAATGATTATTTGCTAAAAAAGAAGGATACTTGGTGTGCAAATGTTGAGGGCGATTTGTTCTATGACGCTGTCCTTGGATTCCCTCGAGAACAAAAACAAGGAATTTTACTTTCTTTCTGGTGCAAAAAAATGGAAGAGGAGGCAACCAGACTCCCCATTGCACCACTGCCCGCCCACCATGTATGAAACTTGCTAAGGTGGGAGTTTGGGATGACAAGGCTGCATTGTCCTAGTTGAGGTGCGACTGCCAGTAGCAAGCTAGAGACATTGCCCTTAAAATTTGGTCCTATCTCTGTAGTCTATCTACTCGACATTTGTGCTAGGGTAAGCCAACTATAAGCAACAGATGTGTGCCATTAGTGTATGAGAGAGGATAGATGGATAGATGGGGCCTTAATTGACTTGGTCCTGAAGGGTTTGCAATAGAAGAAGCCAAACAAGATGGAGGATGAAGACTGGGAGAAGATGCAATTGCAAGCGGCCGCAGCCATACGGCTGTGTGTCTCAGATCAGGTCATGTTCCATGTCATGGATCTAACCTCACCAAAGGAAATCTGGGACAAGCTGGCCACTCAGTACATGTCCAGGACACTGACCACCAAGTCATATCTGAAGCAGAAGTTGTATCGGCTAAAGATGCAGGAGGGATCGGATCACGTGGAGCACTTGAACGTCTTCAATCAGATGGTTGCTGATCTGGCACGTAGAGAGGTAACAGTTGATGATGAAGACAAGGCAATGCCCTATTCGCTTGAACTTATCAGCCATGGTACAGTATATCTCTCACAACAAATCGGCGAACAGTACTTTTCAGCCTGGCTTTTCAGCGAAGCGAACAGGGCCAATAATTTTTTTGTACTCTTTATCGCCATCCTATGAGCATGTGGTTGCTACACTGAGATATGGCAAAGAAACAAATCATTATTGAGGATATTACTGCTGCGTTGTTTGCTCACGAACAGAGGAGGAAGAACAATGCAGTGGAAGCACCTTGAGCTGAAGGCTTGCTGGTCAGTGGTGAGCCTAGCAGGGGGAAGGTCGAGGCCAAGAGCAAGAGGAAGAGAAAGGTGCAATGTTCAAGTAAAGAAATTGGAGACATGTCAAGGAGTATCCAGGAAAGGAGGCAAGTACTAATGTTGCAGTATGAGTGGGTGACTCAAATAATGACAGTAATCTTCTCTAGTCGGTTTAGAGGAGATGGGCATTTCCAGCTGTACAAGATGCAAGGATGCACTGGTGTAGGTGGAGTCACTGGGTTGAAGTTGCAAGGATAGTGGGGCTTTATGAGGCGACGGGTTTGAGGCCAAGTCAAACTCATCGGGCTGCTTTTCGTGAAGCGGCAAAGTCGACAACTCAAGTCAGGAGTACATGGCTGCTCGCGCATGACAAGACTTCAAGCTGGCGAAATATTCACCATGGTGGAGATTGTGAGATATGTGTCGAATATTTATTTGTATTTATTGGGGTTACAGTGGATTTATGTTGTAATTAACAGTATAGAGTTAGGTGAGCTAGATGTTGGCTCTTGTAACCCGGCCCCTCTATAAAAGGAGGAGGGAGATGTACTTGTAATCAACTCAATCACGAGAGTGAGAAGCAACACAGAGTGACAGGCTCGCGGAGGGTGCTGGTCATAATTAGCAGTATAGGGTTAGGTGAGCTAAGTGTTGGCTCTTATAACCCAGCCCCTCTATAAAATGACAGGCGCGCGGAGGGTGCCAACCATAATTAGCAGTATAGGGTTAGGTGAGCTAGGTGTTGGCTCTTGTAACCCGGCCCCTCTATAAAAGGAGGAGAGGGTTGAACTTGTAACCAACTCGATCACAAGAGTGAGGAGCAACGCAGAGTGATAGGCTAGCGGACGGTGCCGACAATTTTGGCCGGCGCCCCGGTATCGAGGAGGATTATCAAATATCGAGTCTCCTGCATGGTGTGTGCGATCTCTAGTGTAATGCCCCAGAGTCCAAACGGCTCAGATCCACTCTGCACGCTGAGTTAACCACACCTACCACCATCCCACTTACGCTTTCGTCATCGCTTCGTGTAAAAGGATTAACCCGGGGATGGTGGGATGGACTCTAGAAGTATTATATGTTGGTCTATCCCACCTTTAACAACCAAGATGGGACTAAACTCTCCACAATATTTCATTAACATGCACATGGGCCACTATGGGCCAAATTTCAAACAGGGTCGGATGTCACATCTCGTGAGCATCTCGCCTAGTTAGATTCAAGCAATGGCTTCCGCGTCATGCGCCAGTATCACAACAAGGCCTCTACCATTACTCGTTTCCTTGGCAAAACTGTTGAGCATTTCAGGATTTTATGAATTCTTACAAATATAACTTTTAAAATAATTTGAACCATCATTATCACCTAGCATGTCGGTAGCTTTTTAAGTGGGCATATATGGCAGTGGCTTACAGGAGCGAAAAGAATACCTTTTGTTATATTATTTTTGTTATATTATTGCAGTGGATAGTAACGTGAAGAGAGACAGAGGAAGACCGAAGTTGACTTGGGTAGAGGTAATAAAAGGAGACTTGAAAAGATAGAATATACCCAAAGACTTAGCCTTAGATAGGAGTGCTTGGAAAATAACTATTCACGTGCTTGAACCTTGATTGCTTCTGCTGGGTTTCAACTCTAGCCTACCCCAACTTGTTTGGGACTTAAAGGCTTTGTAGTAGTTGTTGTTGTATTGCAGTGACTTAAAAAACAGTATGCATATGGACTCTAATTAAGGACGGTAGTTAACTTCATTTTCAAATTTCTTATGCTCTATATATTTCTGCATTCCGAACACCAACTCCTGTTGGTTCCTGCGTTTTTCCATTCCTCTGTCT